TTTGAGGTCATGAATTGTCCCCTTTTTCAAGCTATGTGTCTTAAAGAGTTACTAAATATGTTTAAAACTCTTGTTTTTTCATCAGTAAATTAAAGTGGAAGCTGAAGACGGCAGTAGGTGGCAGTGTGTGCTGTGGTCAGCATGTGGCAAGCCCTCGGTGAAATGCAGGCATTTGTGGTCATCACCGCTACTGTCCGAAAACAGAGCCTTCCATTCCCACACACTCACTCTCAGCTTCCAGCTGTGGACTCCCAGCGTGTGAGTCCTGATGCACACCTGCAACTCTCTTCAAGGACCTCCAACTCAAGAGGTCTGAAATAAAAAGATGTTGTGGACTCAGATGCACTACAAAACGTCTTTGCCTGTCCTATAAAATCTGCTCCCTCATCTCCTCTCTCTGGGAATGAGAAGCCATTCCTTTACGTTTCCTTCACTCTTACTTGATGAATGTCCCGTGTTTGTCTCAAGAAAGCCCCACTGGCTTCACGTTGCCCCTATTGTCTTTGTTACTCTTCTAAGATTTCCTGGTGTACACTCGGTGATGCTTTCCCAGGACTCACCTCCCTCAACGCTACATTCTGCCGTGAATCTGTCCTAGATGGACACAGGCACTCCCAGGATGCTTCCCAGCCCTACTTGCCTCTCAGTTTATCCTGTTCACATTATGCAGAATTTCAGTATCATCCACAATATTAAGATAGTAACAGAAACACAAAGGAGAGAACAAACAAGGGGAGAAGTTTTATGGTGTGATCTGAAGCAGTGTAAGAATTCTCTTCATTGTATGCATCTTGCATGGGCAAATGGTGTCAGCCCATTGTTTGAAGGAGAATACACTATCCAGAGTTTGCACATTGTTTAGGTGTGAAAAAACAGGAGTAAATTCAGCAGTGAATATCTGAAATTCAAACCAATTTACCAGTAATCAAGGAGATTCTCCCTATCTGTTTCACAAACATACAAGTTGCTTTCATCTCTTAAAATATTTGAAAAGTTAAGATACAACTAACTATTCCCTCAAAAGTAGAAAAAAAAAATTTGTACCTCAGCATTATAAAAGTTATACAACAGGCCCTGGCGCAGTGGCCTAGCAGCTAAAGGCCTCACCTTGAACACACTCAGATCCCATAAGGGCGCAGGTTCTAATCCCAGCAGCCCCACTTTCTCATATCCAGACTTCATTTCATTTGAATATATTCCCAAGGGTGGGATAGCTGGGTCATAGGGTAGATCTATCTTCAGTTGTCTTAGCGCTCTCTATACTGAGTTCCCTAGTGCCTGCACAAGTCGACACTCCCACAAACAAAAGATTAAGGTTGTTTTTTCTTTGTCATCAGTTGTTGTTAGTTGATTTCTCACTGCAGTTGGGTGGAACCTCAGTGCGTATTTTGTCTGAATTTCCCTAATAGCTAGGGAGTCTGAGCATCTTTTCCTACATCTAAAAGCCATTTGAATTTGTTCTTCTGAAAAATGCCTTCTCGTTTGCTTTGTCCATTTGACAAGGTTTTTGTTTTGCTGTTGTTGAAGCTCTTTGTGAATCCTGGATATTAGTCCCCTATCTGTTGTCTATTTCTCTTGATATTATTATTATTTTTCTCATCATAATAATTGTGATAGAAATTCATTGGTATGAGCCTCAAACTTTGTCATTAATTTTGATTCTAGTAATTCAAATCTGTCAGTCCAGGAATCCCTTTCCGTAACTGGAAGGAAATGGAAGTGGAGTGAGCATGAGAGGAAGGTCTCCACATCCTCATAACAGCTTTGATGAGTGACGGCAAGAGGAAGGGGTCTAAGAGAATGCCTGGTGGTCATCCAGGAGGGGTCATCAGGTGTTAGTGCCATGTTTTAGAAAATTAACTTTTTCCAATGTGTTAGTTATGCTTGGAGTAAAAGAAGCTGATTAGCACTAAATATCAGGAGATTGGCATCTAATTGATATTGAGTGATAAATCTGCCCTGATGCGTTACAAATCTTCATGAACATAGTGAGAACTGGCCAGTTTTCTAAATTACCCTGTCCTTTCAATGAATGCCGTCATCATTCAACAACGTCACAAAACAATTGTATGAAAGTCCCCATTATTAGTTGATTATTAAATTATTTTATATTATCAAGATATTATTAAATTTAAAATTATTGAATTATTATTCCACTTGTTTATTCATTAAATATTCCTCACTTTCTATGTGCTAGGCTCATAGAACAAGAAGATAAAGTGTCTATAGCTAAATTCTAGTGACGTGGAAGTGGAGTGGGTTAAAAGTAAGCCTACACAGAACGAATAAATGAAAAAATCCATTTCCCCTTGCACTCAATGCTGTGAAAAAAATACGTTGGGTTTTGTCGGAGAAAACCTTTGGGAAACAGAGCTTAGACAGGATGGGCAGGAAAACTTCATTGGTAGGGGACTCTGATTGCAAGATAAAGGTTGAAGGACGAATCATGCTGGCTGTTGGGAGCCTGAATCACGTAGTGAATGGTTCAAAATTGCAAAATAGTAAACTGGAAGGTTAGATGGTGGCAACTGGAAAAGTAGATGAAGGTGGGGCCATCTTTGGTAACAGCCAGGATTTATGTAGAGAACTCTTCTAATTACAGATGGGGTAGTCAGGTTGCACATGTAACCTAGCAGTTAAGACACTGATTAGGATAGCTGCAGCTGCATCCTGTATGTGAGTGCCTGGAATCAATACTGATCTCCAGTGATGACTCAAGTCATTGGGGTGCCACCATCATGTATGATTTGGATTGTATTACTGCTCCTTGCTTCAGTCTTCCAACCATAGTAAATCTGGGGGGAGGAGGGTGAACCTACAGGTGGCAAATCTCCCTCTCTCTCTGCCACCTACTTCCAACGCAGACAAATTAAACAAGCAAACAAACAGACAAATGGGATGATAGTGGACCTGAGAGTTTCTTGAATGCCAGAATCAGCTGCAAAGGAAAAAAAAATCAGCTAGAAAAAGTGGTTCTCTAGCTTCTGACCTGAGGGATATGTATCCAGTAAGTGAAGTTTCATCTATTTGTGAAAGGCCAAGGGAAGCATGGCCTTGGGGGGCATGCAAGTTTCATTGAGAAAAAGACATGGGATAAAATATTACAGAAGTGCCCAGAGGCTAAAAGCAAATTTGATAACCACTGAGCAGGTCTAGATGGTGCAATGGAAGGTTGACTTTGTTTAGTTTTTGGTTTTGCTTTGTTTTGTTTTGTGGAGTAAAAGAGAGAGTGGATTAAGGTATATATAAAGATGCTCATTACAATCTGAGGAACACCAGACAAATGGAGAAATGTGAAGTTTACTAAATGACTGTGAGAGAACATTGTTGCGTCACTGTTTATGGTTGTGTTGGCAGAAGAAGTTGCAGAAAGATTGTTCTAGTTTTATCCGAAGCCTATTCTAAAGCCTTTCTTCCCATGCCTGTTGATTAGGAAGCCAATAATATTCAAACCTTGTGTCAGATTTTATGTTATCATTGACGATTGTGGACTACAAATCATTGACCAGAGGAATGACATATTTTGGGCTTCAAATTATGCTGATAGGGAAAAAATAACAGACAAATATTTTTAGAGTTGAAACCTGAATAACAGGGAATATTTGATATAACTATTATGAAGCTATTCAAACTAATGTTTTGTGAAAGGAAGATTACTCCTCTCTGCAAGAGTCCTTTTGTAGTACTATGGAAAAGTTCCCTTCACACTCAACTGGTACAGGGACTATAACGATGCCTGGTGTGTTTCCATCCAGTACTTCAACCCTCAGTTCTCTTGTTCAACTGTGTAGAAAATTCATAATCATCCTTCAAGACCTAGCTCAATAACTTACTCAACAAATGTTTGAGAGTAACTACCACAGATATTAGAGCTCTCTAGATACTGGGACACAATGATAAACATAGGAGACTCACCCATCCCTTCCTCCAGCTTTAGGTTGGTGACAAAATGAATTACCACAACAACAGAAGATTGACTTTTTCAACTTCCCAATAACATGCAGTTAATCCTATAAATTTACTTCCAAACCACCTTCTCTACAATCACCCGTTCCAAGTTTAAAGGAGATCAAGTTGCTTGTCTGCCAGGGAGCCTTCTAAGAGCCCTCCAAGTTACCCATAGTTAAAATACCAAAATCTTTACAACTTCTGACACTTCCAGAGGATGCCATCTTGAAGAGTCCAACTTGCACATCCTCTTTTACAAGCCAACGTAAGCACTGGGGGATGATCGTAGTCAGATGAAAGCAACATGGTAAATGGCTTGCTTCATCCCTCACGCAAGAGAACTGAAATCTGTTTCTACTTTGGATATAATTTTGTATAGCAAAATATCAAGTGCATTTGTATATATTCCTTAATCATTCTTCACTGGGGAAAGAAGGAAGTTCTCAAACATGAATGACACAATGATTTTAGTTCTTAACATGAAAACATCAATGTGGAAAAATAAAACACTGCCAAGGGGCAGTGTTAACTTTTTCAAGTGCTTAGGAAATGGAAGCATCCATCAGGATGGCATGATTAGTGTTACTTTAATTACTTTAACTTGTAACTTGGAGTTCTTTTGTGTGTTACAGAGTACCCTCAAAAACATCAAAAATGGTGCAAATACAGCTACATTTTCTGTCTACAAGAAGATACACTAACTTCTTTAGCACTTGAAAATATTTAGTAACTCAAAAACAAGTGACTCACAAAACAGTGAAGTTACATTACATTGCATTGCAGTTGGAACAAGAACAAAACTCCTGTTGCTCACCATCCTGGGGTACCATTTCTCATCACTGTGATGATTATATAATAAGTTTGTGTGAAGAAACAAACTTCACAGAAACTTACCACATAATGTATATTTAGCATGCTTCACTAAATTGTTGTGGCAGCTTACACAAAATATGCTTTTCTCATCCGTATTTTAAAACAAATATGTTCAATTCCTTATTTAATACACTTACACTTGTGAATGTGTTCTCAATATTTCTCCTTCTCTTCTTTAGCAGAAAATCAACTTACAGATGCCTGAGCATCTGAAGGAAAACAAGGGAAATCTACTCAATTCTGAAAGGCTTACCAGAGGCCCAACACAGAGCCGCCACTCACACCGAGGGGATCATGTTTTGAAGATCATGCAAACACCAACATATAGGGCTCCTGGAAAGCATCAAGGAACTAAGACTCTTTTAAAGAAGTTCAGTGAAATGAATTGGCCCCTGGATATCCGCCCTTTAAATAAAAGTTTAGTCCAAGACAACAAATGGAAGAAAGCTGATGTGACCCAAGAAAAACGCAGATGCTTCCTACAGGAATTTTGCAAAAAACATGGTGGGGTGAGTCATCCTCAGTCACATGTCTTTCATGTGGTATCCAGGATCTACGTAGAAGACAAGCACAAGATCTTATACTGTGAAGTACCAAAGGCTGGCTGCTCCAACTGGAAAAGAGTTCTAATGGTCCTAAATGGATTGGCCTCCTCTGCATATAACATCTCCCATGATGCCGTTCACTATGGAAAGCACTTGAAAAAGCTAGATAGCTTTGACTTAAATGGGATATACACACGCCTAAATACCTACACCAAAGCTGTGTTTGTTCGTGATCCCATGGAAAGATTAGTGTCAGCTTTTAGGGACAAGTTTGAACACCCCAATAGTTATTACCACCCGGTGTTTGGAAAGGCAATTATAAAGAAATACCGACCAAACGTTTGTGAAGAGTCATTAATTAATGGTTCTGGAGTCAAGTTCAAAGAATTTGTCCACTATTTGCTGGACTCCCACCGTCCAGTGGGAATGGACATTCACTGGGAAAAGGTTAGCAAACTCTGTTTTCCATGTGTGATCAAGTACGACTTTGTAGGAAAATTTGAAACTTTGGAAGAAGATGCCAATTATTTCTTAAGGTTGATTGGTGCTCCAGAAGAACTGAAATTTCCAAACTTTAAAGACAGGCACTCTTCTGATGAAAGAACAAATGCTCACGTTGTGAGGCAGTATTTAAAGGATTTAACTAGAACTGAGAGACAGTTGATCCATGATTTTTATTACTTGGACTACTTGATGTTTAATTACACAACTCCATTTTTGTAGTTTGTGTTCATTTTCTAAAACCCTGTATTTGTGTTATCATGATGACCTCAACTCAGCTACTGTAATTTCCTTAAAATTCTCTGTATGAAGGATAATTAACTGAATAGAGTTTTTGTGATTTAATGAAGATTTATGATAGCAATTGGCACAAAGTTATAGGAAAACCATTTAACAGAAACTTGTAAACAATTTGAATGACTCTAAAATGTTTAAGGAAGAGTAGATTTTACATTATGGATCATATTGTTCCCAGCCAGCTATTACATTAACTAAAAAAAAAAAAAAAAAAACCCTTGCAATGATAGGAAAGGGAGTCCACAGAAACATGAATATATGCAATCATCCTGGAATTCACTCTCTACAGTGCATGGATTACTTTTCAGCAGTCTAAGGTATATTGATCCAATGATTGTGTAGTCTTTCTTACATCTGGAAATCTAACAATCGTATCAAAAAATCCACTTTGAAATGATATTTTGGACTTGGATATTTTGCTTTTACTCAGCAAGTATTTCATCATTTGCAACATGACAATAAGAAAAAATAGAGGAGTCTGTGTCTTTCTATGAGACAACTTATAAAAACTGTGGAGGCCACCAAAATAAAAGCAGCAGAAGCAAACTTCCTGTCCCAAAACACTGAGGGAATTGATGCTGCTCGATCTTGAGATCTCCACAAAAAGGCAAAATGAACACAACCTCCAAAGTCTTCATTTCTAAAGCAAGCAGTTGAAAAGTTTAAGCCTCATCTCATATAAATGTGCTCTTAATTCTGCCTTAATTGGGCATGGGGGGAATTGTTTCAGGATGGAATAATCATCAAAAACAAAAGTTGCCATTGTGAATATAGACCTCAAACAATAACAAGTTTTGTAAGAATATTATTTGAATCAAAGCATCGTGTGCACAGCTTTATATGTGGAATACCTTCTAAGGATAGCTTTTGTTTTTAGTCTAATTATTCAGCTTGGGAATGATTTTTTTAAAAACTAATATACCACTTCAAAGATAGGTTATGTTCTAGAGGAGAAACATAACAAGAGCCCCTAGAAATATTTTAATGGGCTTATGCATAAGCAAATTAAGATATTTTCTTTTTAAGTTTAAATATTCTATATTAACGAAGTCAAATACCACTGCATTCAAATATTAAATCAAAGTCTTGGAAAATAGGACCATGTGTCACCCCTATGAAAAGTTGTAATGCATTGTGGAAACTTCTTCCAAGGAGTCCTACGTTAGAAGACACATTTTGATGGGAAGTGTAGTTTCATTCATTGACTATAATTGTTGAGTTAGGCAACCCACATGTAATCAAAGCCCTGTCTGAATACTTTGGTTGGATATGTTCCTCTTCGTAAGCTATTTTATGAGTAAGGATTTAGTAAAATTTCTCTCAAATAAAAATAGGTATTAATAGACCAATATAGTTACCATCATACTTACTTCATTTTGATTTTACATTTTGTGGCTGACTATTCTCAAATTGCTTCACTTTATACACCCCTGCCCGATCCCATCTGTGTCTCCTGAGGAGTGAGCAAGCTGCAATGTGCTGAGAGATTGTAAGGATTAAACCTTCTAACCCAAACTTTTACTGTTTCCACTCCATTTACTCTTGCCTCTAGACCATTCACTTAGCTGTGCTCTCTGTTTTTGAAGAGTCTCATTCTATAATAACTTAAATTTTACAATTTAAAATATTCCTATGTCATGTAGAATGATTTCCAATAACTTAGACACACAGAAATTATCCATTTATGAAGAAATAGAATATAAAATGTTACTCCTAAACTGCACAAAATTAGTTTTAAATTGAATCTGCTATAGAGAAAATCTTCCCAAAGGTATTTTTAGATCTATTTAAGAAACAAACAAAAATATTTTTCTGTTCAGGCAGTGGAAAAAATAGAAACAAGTATTCTGACTCTCATAATTACTTCTAATGCATTGAGGACACGGAATGCGCGTGTGTGTGTGTGTGTGTGTGTAAATAGATGTAAATTTGGTGGTGAAGAGAATGAAGACAGAGTAGAAAACCATGATACACAATGCTCTCCATCAAAGCTTTCTCCGGGGGCAGATGGTTGGCCTAGCAGTTAAGACAATGGTTAAGATCTGTGTCCTGCATCAATTTCATGATTCAATTCTTGGTTTTGGCTCCTGATTCCAGGTTCTTGTCAATACTGACCCTGGAAAGAATGGTGTGGGTTCAAGTCACTTGTTGCCCACCACATGGGAGACCTAAATGTAGTATCTGTCTCTTGACTTCACCCTGGTCTATTTCCAGTGGTTGCAAACATTTGAGGGGGTATGGGCCAACAAATGAGAGCCTGACTATCTATCTCTCCTTTCCTTCTCTCTCTCTTGCCTCCCAAATAAATTTTTTTTTTAAATTGTTTTAACTTTGTTCTGCTAGATTTTACTGTTAAGCTATACATTCCATAGTTTCAGTCACTCATTGTTATATACTGGCTGAAGCTACTATCTAGAGAATCCCAGAAATCTAAAAAGAAAGTATGGCTTATACATTGTGCATGGTTCTGGATAGCATGATGAAATACTGTACTGTGCCATGCCATCCCACCTGGACTAGAATCATTCCTTTTTATTCACACTAAATGTCTCGACATTACAGTGACTGTGTTCAAGCAACGTAGTGGCCAATGTTGTATCATTATGCCTGTCATTCACCTTATTTTATCTCATCACATAAGCATTGTATCATCTCACATCATCAAGAGAATAAGAAAGATATACACAGAGAAAAATCATATTCATGTAACTTTTATTAAATTATACTGTTAGAATTATTCTATTTTATTAGCAGTAATTGATGTCAGTCTCTTACTGTGCCTAATTTATGTACTGATCCTTATTATGGGTTTATATGTACAATAGTACATTGATTAATGATGGGCATGAATTCTGAGAAATGTATCATTAGACTTTGTTATTGTGCAAACATCATAGATTGCTTAAATGGACTAAGGTGGCTACAATGTCACTGAAGAATATCATCTTTGGAGCCACCATTGTACACCTGGCCCATCATTAAGCAGCATATGACTGAAAGGGTAAAGCATAGTGCAATAGATGTGGGATTCAGGCTCTCAGGAGGAGTTTTGGAACATATGCTATGGGATCTGAACAAGTACTGCCTTCTTTGCTCCTCTCCTGAGTCTAGGTAACCATTGATGGACTTTCATTTATGTATTCTTTCTTTAAAAATCTTTTTTTTTTATTTTTCATGATACAGTTCCTTTGGTTCAGGGATCTCCCCTGAATTCTTCAATTGCCGTTACTCTTTTTCCCTATATTGTAATGATGGTATAGTCCTTCAACAACGGGCATGAGTCCATCATTCTATTTAAGCGTATCATGACATTGGAGATACAGACATCTTTGCTGCTGACATTTGGTATGTAATTGTGAATTCAGAAGCTATATGTGTTTTTGTCAGGGGAGAACAAACTGCTTGTGCATCTTCCTTATATTTTTGAGGACTTCCTTTCAAGTGAGGTCCAAAGAAATCAGTCATCAACCTAAATTCCTTGTGGTTTTAAAAGCCAGCTCCTCACATCTCCCATGAATTGTCGTGCTTTGCAAGTCGGCTCAGATTTGTCGTTCTCAATTCTGCCAGTGTAAAAGTCCAGGTGGGATCATCACTGTCCATGTGAACAGTCACGAGTTCATGAAAGTTCAGGACAACTTCCCGCACGTGGATCTGACAGCTGCTGAGTATGCTCAGGGCGCATCGACCAAGGCATAACCAAGCTTTTGTGACTCTTGAGAGCAATTCACAAATGTGCCTTCTCTCCTTTCTTCATTTCTCATCCCCAGGATTAGTTTAATAGCCAGATAATCTCAACTGATCCCAGAAGATTTTAGATAAAAAATAGAGAAGGAGTGGCCCAGCAGTTAAGATAAAGCTTGAGAGAACCTTATTCTGTACTAGATTGCCTGGGTATCAGTCCTGACTCCATCCCTAGTTAAAGAATCCTGCACAGCATGGAAGGCAGCAAGTGCTGCCTCAACTGTTTGAGTCTCTGTCACCTACTGAATTGAGTTCTGAGCTCCTGGCTTCAGTACAGTCCTGACTGTGGCAAGTGTCAAACCAGTAGATGGAAAATTCTCTCTCTTTTTATCCTTATTTCTGTCAAATAAAATGAAAATAAATAAGTTACTTTAAACAAAGAATACAGGAGGGGTTGGCCTTTGTGGTACATTGGGTTACGCTACCCCCTGGGACACCAACATCCCATATTAGAATGCTGATTCTGTCCCGGCTGCACAATTACAATTCAGCTCTATGCTAATTCACTGGGAAAGCAGCGGGAGAGACCCAAATACAGGACCCCTGCCACCCAAAACTCAAATTCAGATGGCGCTCCAAGCTCCAATGTTTGGCCTGGCCCAGCCCCAGCCATTGTAGCCTCTTGGGAACTGGATGAGAAAATGGAATAATTCTTTCTCTCTCTCTGTCTCGCTATCATTTTGCCTTTCAAATAAATGAAATAAATCTCTTTAAAAATGAAAGATTAGAAGAATAAATTAAGCTACCTGAAAACAGATCCAGATAACTGTTGAACTGGAAGATGACACGTTTACTCTAGGCCTGTGGGATACACTGCGCAAGCAACGCCAGGTCTAGGGACCAACTGAATACTATCTACATCATTCAGGTCTCAAAATGGTCTTCTTGCCCACATCTTGATTCTTCACACAGGCCATACCTTTCCTGGCAAATTTATCCCAATCCACTTAAGCCATTAACTTTTCCCATCTCTAAGCCTCTACTCAGACTAACCCTGTATTTAATTTATTTGCTCATTTGGTATTCATTCCATTTTGTATGAATGCAAAAGTTCGGCTGTTGTTATTGAAAGATGTTTAGATCTCCCAAGAAGAAAGAAATTCCCTTTGCACCAGTTCTGGATAAGCACTGTGCAGAAACAGTTACTTTAGCAAATGCTTTGGATGATGCCGATGAAAGCTTCC